GTATCCTTGGGAAAAGCCATCCCAATTTGGATGTTAATAAGGAAAATCATTTCTTCTCATCTTTCTGGTAAAAAATCAGCAAACACAGCAAATGCAGAGATGTGAAGTTTCTTATTTCCCTTTTACGTTTCCTTCCCTTTTTAATTTCCTTCCTCATCAAACCACATTCTTTTCTAATATCCTTAAAAGTTAAAGTGAGCAGAAATGAATGTTCTGTTCTTTTTTGTTGTTGTTGTTTTTTACTTTTTACTCCAGATATAACCACAGACTCCTTGTTTTGGGATCAGGCCTACTTTCAGTTCACAGCAGAGCTTTCAGAGAGCTCCTGCTTTAGTAAATAAACATCTCACCCACCAAAATATATAAATATTTTTTTCCAAAAGCATTTTTGAAAATAAAATATCACTCCTTATTGTTCAATAGTGCATGTTAATGTAAATTGTTAAGAAGAAGGACCTGTATTGCAAACATCCTTGAATATTATTGGTGGTATTGTACTGATACTTAATATATATTATATCATTTATTTTTTCATTAATAATACACTTCTTTATGTTTACTTTATAGATGAAGGTTCAGAAAATATACTTTCCAAGCCAATTTTGTTTTATTGTCTCAGATGTGAAACATGTACAAAACTTTAAATATATATATATAATATACACATAATTACATAATATATAATCATAAAATTATAACAATATGATTATGTAATACAACAATATAGTGCAATAATTATTATAATTGTAATTTATATATAATTATGTAATATTAATATTAATCAGTATAATAATATAAGCTCTAGGTTATGATTTCCAACCTTTTTTTTTGGTACTGGGGATTGAACCCAGGGGCAGTTAACCACTGAGCCATATCCCCAGCCTTTTTTATTTTTTATTTTGAGACATGGTCTTGCTAAATTGTTTAGGGCCTACCTAAATTTTTGAGACTGGCTTTGATGTTGAGCCGCTGGGATTACTGGTGTTCACCTATTTTAATGCACCCATGTCAATTTCATTGAAATAGTCACAGACTTGAAAACTTCAAATTTAGTCAGGCTCAGTGTTGCATACCTGTAGTCCCAGAGACTCAGGAGGCTGAGACAGGAGGATCAGAGTTCAAGGCCAGCTTCAGCAAGGGTGAGGCGCTAAGCAACTCAGCAAGACCTGTCTCTAAATAAAATACAAAGTAGGGCTGGGACAAGGCTCAGTGGTTGAGTGCCCCTGAGTTCAATTCCTGGTACAAAAAAAAAAAAAAAAAAAAACCTTGGAATTTACTGGATTAATAGCATACAGTTAAACACATGGCAGAGCTGGAATCTGAACCTAGATATATTTGACTAGAAACCAAAACACTATCCTGTCCGTGTATATGGTCCACAGAAACCTCAAACATAACATGTCCAAAGCCAAACTCATTTCTCTGAAATCCCACCTGACTGATGTTTTCCCTACTAGGTTCTCTTATTTAAGGGCACTACTGTGTACCAAATTGCTGAAGCCAAGTATCTTGGAATAATCTTAGACTTTCTCTCATCACCTCCTTTTCCCCTACCTCCACCAACCTCTCTCTTCCAATCCCCACTTTCTTTTAAAAAATCCATGCCATCTTCCTACTGTGGCTTTAGGTTAGCCTGACAGCACTTCCTTACTATATTATTATAATGGCTTCCCAACTCGTCCATCTGCCTCCATTCTTGTTTTCTGATTTATTTAAGCCAAATGTTTATGGGCTCAGTACCCATGTGGAGATGAATAACACCTCATTTATCCAGAGGTCAGTCTTCCAGTTGATTCAGTCTTTTATTTATTTTGGAACTGGGGATTGAACCCAGAGGAGCTTTACCACTGAGCCACATTCCCAACCCTTTTTATTTTATTTATTTTTTTTATTTTGAGACAGGGTCTTGCTAGGTTGCTTAGGGCCTCATTAATTTGCTGAGGCTGGCTTTGAACTTGAAATTCTCTTCCCCCAGCTTCTCAAACTGCTGGGATTACAGACATGTGCGACTGCATCCAGCTCAATCACCTATGAGGAAAGGTGTAAGGAAACCCCAAATAGTAATTCCAAACCCATATTAGGCAGAGTCTGTCATTCGGTGGTTTACTGGCTTCCTATTTAAAATGAAGTTAGCTAGCTTAGTTTATGATTATTTTATAGTCTGCAGCAGATTTAGAAGCAGTAAACTTCAGTGTTTAAGTACTGCTAGTGAATAGCCATTCAAAGCTTCGCTAAGAATCTTAGAGCAGCAACATCTGATCACCAAGTAGCTAACGCAAAATCCAGAATCACAAACCCTGTGCAAGACCTGCTGAATCAAAATGTACATTTTAATAAGGTCTCTAGGTAATTTGTAGGAACACTAAAGTTTTAGATGCACTGAGTTAAACCAAATTAGAAAATCAAGCTCCAACAAATTGTGGGTAATAATCATGTTTCCAATAAGACCCACATAGGCATTGTAAAAAATAAGCTGTTAAGAAATTTTAGATGACTGAATTGCTTTTTAAAAAAAGTTTATATCAGGACATGTTCATGAAAGTTCTACAATGCATTGGTTATGACCTGGGATATCAGTTGGAAACAGCTAGAAAGGGAAATTGACACTAACCAACCATACCAAAACCTGTTTATAATATTCTCTAGCTATTAAAATTCATAGGTGTACCTATGAGTGTCTCACATTCATGAGATTGGTTTACATAGAAAAAAGTTAAGAACTAGTAAGTGCTTCTTGACCTTTTAACCAAATTAACTGTGATATTAGGGGCTAATGAATATCTCTAGAGGTCAAAGTACTCACCATAATAATGAATTTTTTACTCTCATGCTGTATATTAATATAAATTTTAGCTGGGCATGCAGTGCAAAACTGTAACCCCAGCTGTTTGGCTGGCTGAAGCTGGAGGGTTCCAAGTTTGAGGCTAGCCTGGGCAGCTTAGTGAGACAATATCAAAATAAAAATTAAAAATAAAAGGGCTGGAGATGTAGCTTAATGGTAGGGTTCTTTGCCTAGAATATGAAAAGTCCTGGGTTTAATCCCTAGTACCACAAAAAAATTTATATTGTTTAATGTGTTTAAAATACTAAAAAGTTACTTCAC